CCCTGTACGCACGTCATTATAGCGGATGGCCAGCAACCGCCTCAGGTGAATGTTTGCTTATCACTCGACATGTTCTTCCTGGCTCAAGTTGAATAAACGAGGAGGGTTTCCTTTACATTGACCCTATACAATTTGGGAACCCAGCTAATGAATACATTGTTTTCTAATTAGACGGCATTTTTACCTTTTTCCTAGTCTTTTATCCCAGTCCACTTCTACTTTTTGCTTTAGGATCTCAACCAAACTCCAATCACTGTCGACTGGATCAACAACTCGATATGTCAGTCAAAGCTGCTGCCCCTGCCTGCGGTTTCATGAAATTTGATGCTCTTTTTCTGGGCTGTGGATTGACTTTTACTCTATGAATTGACTTTTATGTACACTTTTTTGTCCCTCATTTTGTGGTCTTTCATGTTTCACTCTGTACGGCTATTAGCCTTTTCCTGCGCCGCATTTTCAATGATGTACTTTTGATTTTGTCAATGCTATTAAATTCTGCTTTTGTTTTGCGTGTTCGCGTCTTCTAGGCTTTTTAACAGCTGACCCTGTCTGGATATAGGAAATCAGTGGAAACGTTTTTAGCCAACCTATTGAACTTTTTTGACACTCGGTGACCCTGCAGTTTCTGTCCGCGTTGATAGTTTTCCCATCGAACACGGCGATGACCACCACGAGAAAAAGCGTGACTTTTGCCGGTTTTTTTTTCTTACACTGAAGCGGTCTCTCTCTTCTTTCATCCAACTTGTTCCAATAGAACGACGAAGACGACCAGAGGTGGGCGTGGTCGTATTGCAGGAGTTTAAATTAGTTAACTCCTAGCAACTGCGATCTTCAGGCCCAGTCCCTCCGGAGAAGGTAAGTCATGGGAGGCCAGGGTGGAAGGAACAGTTGTTTATATACAGAAGGAATGGAGGAGAGGTAGTAGACAATTGAATGTCAGAGGGGAGGTGCTGTTTGAGAAATCTGAAGCATTTGTTCCCTGGTACAAATTTAAAACACGCATATACGGCAGAATTTATTGGCGTCAATAAATTTCGTGACAGCTTCTCAGCTGCATCTTGTCGCTGCATGAGGGTAATAACGGAAAAAAACATGCAACCGTTTGGAATTTTGCAAAATGGATGACATAACAGCAAGGGTCATAGTTCGGTTTGAATATTGATCAGGTAAAGGACAACGTATGGAAAGGAAGGGGGGCTTGAAAAGCCAGT